CAAGAGCCCTGAAGATGTGTTCACTGTCATTGGATCCACAAGACTTTGTACCCACTGTCCTGTGATCTCCCTGCATCTGCATCATTTATTCACATGATGTGTGAATAAATCCAAAGAGGGATTTATGGACTAGTATCAGACTTATGGACTTGATTTGGACTGGGCTGGAATGTTTGCTTGATATATAATTACCTCTTGATATAAAGCTCTTTCTTACACATATATGAGTGCCCCTGGATTTATTTCTCTAGTCAACCCAGCCTAACACAGGGAGGGTGGAGGAAATGGGGAGTCAACATCAATGGATACAAGAAAAAAGAAAAGGTTCCAAAGTTGATCCTTGTGATTGCACAACCCTCCTTGATATTAATGAACTATTGAATCATATGATAAGTTAATTATTGCTTAATAAAACTATTTATTAAAAAAATAACTAGACTCAAGACAAACCAAACCCATCGTCATCCAGTCCAGTCAATTCCAACTCATGATGTCCCCATGTGTTACAGCAGAAGTACCCTATAGGGAGTAGTTTTTACAGAAACAGGTTGCTGGGTTTCTTCAGCAGAGCTGCTGAGTGGGTTTGAACCTCCAACCTTTCAGTTAATAATCAAGCACAAACCACTTGAGCTACTCAGGAATTTTATATTCAAGACACCCAAACTGAAAAATCAACTGCACCACCGGCTAGCTTTGTACCTTGTGAGAAGCCATCTCTTTCTGAGCCTCCATTTCTCCAGCTCTAAGGAAAAGATCCTACGTTCTACATTCTAGGAGTATATGAAGGGGTTAACTTAAGCCTGCACTAAGCTTCGCACAAACGGAATGCCTATACACAACTCCATCTCTTTGAGCCTCTGTTTTTCTATTTCACAAAGTGCAAATATGGTGTCATGTCCATCAGGAATCCCCAAGTTAAATCCTTGACCATGACTTGAAAAGGCGACAGTTCATAGACACTCAGAGGTGACTTGGAATAAAGGCCTGGTGATCTGCTTCTTGAAAATCCTACAGTGTTCTACTCAGCACATCTGGATTCTACATGAGCCAGAGCTGACTCCATGACAACTAACATCAACAGCAATGTGCGAGGGTTGAGGGGGTTGCTGTTATTATAGTCCTGAAGGCCAACATGGTTTGCCACACAACTTGATCTCAGATGCTCCCAACCTTAAGCAGGGTCTCGGATTTTTCCATATCTTTCTCCAGCTTCTTCTTCATGGCCTTTAGCTCTTCTTCCTCCCAGGTCAGCATGCTGTCGGCCTTGTCATGGACCTAGGGTGGTGAACAGAGCATTTCTTACCCTTGGAAGATGTTTCTGCCTTTGCAGGGGTGTTTGCAAGCTCACAACTCTAGATTTGTTGTTGCTATCTGGTGACATTGAGTTGGTCTGGACCCTGTTCACGACAGAATGAAACATTGCCCCATCCGGCACCACCTTCATTGAGATAGTGCCAGAAGACAAACCCCGCCAGAAGGCAGGCACTCAACATATAACTGAGAAAGAGTTGCCTTCTCAAAGTCGAGTCGACCATAATGACAGGGATGGGATAAGCATGTGGGAGCAAAGCCTTCAGGACCTCCATTAAGTGATGAGGCATGACTCAAAATTAGAAGAAATGGCTGCAAACATTAATTAATAATTGGAACTTGGGAAAGTACAGTGAATGAATTTAGGGAAATTGGAAGGTGTGAAAAATAAAATGAGATGCATACAAAGCGACACTTCAGGCATTAGTGAGCTAAAGTGGACTGGTTTGGGCCATTTTGAATCAGAAAATCATCTGGGTTACTATGCTGGGACTGACACAATCAAGAGGAATGGTGTTCCTTCAGTGTCAAAAAAGACATTTCAAGATCTACCTCGAAGTACAATGCTGCCTGTGACAGAATTATAATGCCACCTTCAAGTAAATCTGGTCAATACAACTGTGATTCAAATTTAGATTACAACCACAAAAGCTAGTGAGGAAAAAGTTGAAAAAGTCTACCAAGATCTGTAGCCTAGAAAATGATCAAGCATGCAATCGAAATGCATTGATATCAGAGATTGCATGATAGAATTTTGTGAATACCTTTAGAACACAAAAGGTAACTCTACACATGAACTTCCCCACGAAATACACAGAAATCCAGTTGACTATATCTGTGGGAAGAGATGATGGAGAGCTCAATATCAGCAGCTAAAACCAGGCCAGAGGCTGAGTGTGGAGCAGACCATTAATTGGTTACTATGCTGGGTTACTATGCTGGGACTGACACAATCAAGAGGAATGGTGTTCCTTCAGTGTCAAAAAAGACATTTCAAGATCTACCTCGAAGTAGATCAGGTTGAAGCTGAAGAAAATAAGAACAAGCCTGCAAGAGCCAAACTATGACCTTGATTCTATCCCACCTGAATTTTGAGAACATCTCAGGAACAGATTTGACTCATTGAACATTCACGATAAAAGACCTGCTGAGCTGTGGTATGACATCCAGAACATCGTATGTGAAGAAAGTAAAAGGTTGTGAAAAGGTGGGAAAGAAAGAAAAGATCAAAGTGGTTGTCAGAAGACACTCTGCAACTTGCTATTCGTCATAGAGTAGCTAAGGCACATGGAAGAAATGATGAAGTAAAAAAAACTGAACAGAAAGTTCCAAAGGCCAGCTCCAGAAAACAAGGTCAAATACTATAATGAAGTGTGCACAGCCCTAGAACTTGAAAACCAAAAAGGAAGAACACACTTAGCAAATTTAAACGGAAAGAACTGAAGAAAAAATTCAAGCTTTGTGTTGCGATATTGAAAGATTCTATTGGCAAAATATTGAATGATGTAATACCTATCTTTATGCATTCCATTTCATTTTTGATGACTTCCAGTTTTCCTAGATTCATACTTCATTCATTCCAAGTTCTAATTATTAGTAGCTTTTTGCAGCTGTTTCTTCTTACCTTGAGTTGTGCCCAATCAGCAAACAAAAATTGCGAAGGCTCCACTCCTACAGTCTGTCAGTTTGTCATTCTGTGATGGTTTGTGTGTTACTGTGAAGCTGAAGACCATGTCACTGGTATTTCAAATGTCAGCAGGGTCACCCAAAGAGAATAGGTTTCAGCAGAGCTTCCAGACTAAGAACAGACTATAAAGAAGAAATCAGCTGTCCACCTCAGAGGAATTAGCCACCGAAAACCTTAGCGATAGTGTTGGAACATTGTCAGTTACTGAAAACCCCATGAACAGAAGCAGAACACTGTCTGAGATAGCACCAGAAATTGATCCCTTCAGATCAGAAGGCATTCAAATTATGACTGAGGAAGAGTTGCCTTCTCAAACTCAAATCACCCACAATGATGCAGCTGAAGTAAAACTTGACAGAGGACAGCCTCGGAACCTTTTTGCTGATGGAACGTGACTCAAAATGAGGTGAAACAGCTGCAAACATCAATTAGTAATAGGAACTTGGAATAGTACATATCTAGGGAAACTGGAAAAGTCATTAAACATAAAATGGAATGCATAAAGATCAAAGTTCTGTTGAGCTGCAATGGATTAGTATTAGCCATTTCGAATCGGAAATGATATAGTTTGAACTAAAATGATATAGGTTATTATGTCAGGAATGGCACAACCTAGAGGGAGGGCATTGAATCAATCGCCAAAAAAGACATTTCAAGATCTATCTTGAAGTACAATACTGTGATGGGAAAATGCATATCCACATACAACAAAACCAAACAATATAATTCTTATTCAAATTTATGCACCAATCACCAAAGCTAGTGATGCAGAAATGGAGGAATTTTACCAATGTTTTCAGTCTGAAATTGACCAAACATGCAATCCAGATGCATTGATCACTATTGGTGATTTGGATGTAAAAGCTGGAAGCAAAGAGGAAGGAACAGAACTTGGAAAATACGATCTTGGTGATAGAAACCAAGCAGGCGACAACCAACGACAGACATGTTCATAGCAAGCACCTTGACAAGGCCTCTTTAGAGTATTTAAAAACAAGGCTGCTCTATTGAGGACTAGGGTGCTCCTGATCTAAGCCACGATACTTTCACGTGCCTCCTATGTGTGTGACAGCTGGACATTGACATTGAAGAAGAATCGGTGCATTTGAACTGTGGTGCTGGCAAAGAACATTGAAGTGACATGGGCTGCCGGAAGGACAAGCAAATCTGTTTTGGAAGAAGTATGGCCAGAGTGCTCCTTAGCGGCAAGGATGGTGAGACTTCCTCCCATGAACTTTGCACATGCTGTCGGGAGAGACCATTCCCTGGAGAAGGCCAACACGCTTGGTAAAGCAGAGGGGCAGCGATAAAAGATGGACTGACACAGCAGCTGCATCCATGGGCTTAAACAGGAGGACAGCTGCGAGGACGGCACAGGTCTGGGCAGTGTTTCTTTCTGTTGCCCTTAGGGTCACTATGAGTGGAGCCAAGTCAATGGCAGCTATCTGAAACCGGGGGAGGGGGGAGGCAGGAGTCGAGGTCCCACCCTGTGGGTGTTGCCTTCTCTCTCCCCATGGGCGGCTTGATAGTTCTCACCTTTGGGAGGAGAGGTGGTAAATTTTTCCTAGGGGACATGGAACTCAGACCAGGGAGAGGTCTCACTCTTCCTCCTTGGCTGGAGCTGGGACCCCCCACGGTGTAAGCAGCAAACCCTTCCTTTCTCCCTAATGAGGCCTGGGGAGTTCTCACTCCCTGAAAACAGTGGGTTGATCTTTTTCACTCTCTGAAGTTGGGGGTCTGGATTTACGTTTTCACTGAGATTTGAGTATTCAGGGTCTCACCACCACCACCCCCCCCGCCCCCCCAGGGAGTTACCATCTCACTCTCTAGAAACCTGCAGGGTTGGGTGAGGGCTGTTAACTTCCTTGGCTTGGGGTGTCAGGCCTTACACGTTGGGAAGACTGTCTTTGAGTCTGACGCTCAGGGGTCCCACCCTCTTGACGGGTGGACCAGGATCATCCACCCTGGGGGCACCTCGTCTGGCCTCCTCTCCCTGGGACTGGAGCTTGGGGCTTGTTTGGGGAGAATTTGTCTTCTCAAGCTCACTGGCGGGGCGGGACGGGGGTGTCCCACCTTCTCCGACTTGGGCCGGTAGCTCCGCAGCTTGCAGCTCTGCCGGTTAATGAGCAGGCCCTTGCGCACCTCGCTCAGTCTGCAGTCGGTGGCCTCGCGCTGGCGCAGCAGCTGCTGGAGCTGCCCATTGATCTGGTGCTGCGCGCGGCCCAGGCGCGCGGCGGCGAGGCGCGCTCCCCGCGCGTGCGCGTGCACCAGCTCGGCGGTCTGCAGGGCGCGCGCATCGCGGTGCAGGGGCAGCGGCAAGCGGGCGTGCCACGCGGGCGGCTTCATCTTGCTTTTCCACAGCGTGACGCCCTCGCCCGGCGGCGGATGCTCCACGGTGCCGCCGCCCCGGAGCATCTGGACGCGGAAACGCCACGGCTGGATGTGGGCGGCTCGGCCGAGGTGTCTCGCTACGTTCGGGTCCAGCACGCTGTCCTTGGGCTGCCACATGGTCACCGCCTCCTGGCCGCAGCGGTCGGTCAGGTGATGCGCCTTCTGCGTGGTGGCCAGGGCCGCCTCGCGCCATGCTTGCGCCCCTACGCGCGTGTCCTGGCTGTGCTCCACAGGGGGGACCAACACCGGCATCGTGCCTGCCTGGCAGCCCCCGGCGGCCCGGTCCGGGATCCCCACGAAGAGGCCCACTGGTCCCCAGCCAGACAGAACGCCTTCCTCGCCCTACAGAGCCGGTGGAACAGAGAGCCCCCATCACCATGACGACGGGGCTAACTAACCACACTGACCTGGGAAGTGGACGTTTGGGCATTCTAGACGTGGGGGAGGGGAGCGGCACCTCCAGAAAGCTACCCTCATTTGCATCCTTGTCCCTAGCTACCTCCTACCCACCGTCCACCCCTATCTCCTTCCGGGCCCGTAGGAGCCCTACGCTCTCTGCCACTCAAGGTTTTGGTCTGGCTATTTCCACTGCATGGAATCGTCCTTTCCATGTTCCTCCATGGCCGACTTCTTTGTACTCTTTGCGTCCAGCTTCCAGGTCACTGCCCTAGCGATGTCTTCTCTTAGCCCTGTCTGCTTTTCTCTAGATTCGGTTGTTGTCGGTTTCTGCCTCACAGCCAGCCGTGTGTTACAGAGAGACAGTGCTCCATAGATTTTCCTGGCTGTAATCATAATGGAAGCGGTTCTCCAGGTCCCTTCTGCTGCTGCGTGGGTTCAAACCCACTACGGATCTTTTGGGCTGATTGTTCAGCACTCATATGATCACCTAAGGGGCCTTTTCCAAAATCTCAGTGCAAACTGAACTCCCCCAAATGGCTTCACAATGTGCCCGACGACCCCTTTCCCCAAAAAGTGTGTCTCCGGAGGACGGCATGGTTACCGTTGTTGGATTCTCAGCTGCCATTGCTAACCCTGATCCCTGCAGCCACCCAAGTGGCGTGAATGGTTGACTTGCTTGGCTGCTAGCTGAAAGTTTAGCGGTCCGAGTGTCCTACAGAGCAGAAGAAAAGCCTGGTGATCCATACGTCTGAAAACCAAGCCATAAAATACCCCCTTACGCTGACACACGTGGAATTTCGTTCTTAGTCACCGCACCCCAGGCACAGCCTCCTCTCCAGCCCTCTCCCTCAACCTGCCAGCGGAGACTTCTGTGCCCCTAGGATGCTGACTGGGTTACGGTGGCACTTCCATACTAAGATGGTCTAGGAAGAAAGGCCTGGCAATCTACTTCTGAAACCCTGTAACTGATCATGAAGATGGTGTGGGATCGGGCAGCATTTCCTGCTGTGCACGAGGCTACCGGGAATGGCGACCAGTTCCATGGCCGAGAAACAACAGCATCCAAGAGACATTTGAGGGAACTTTCTTCAGCCAGACCCATGTCCACCCAGGGCTAATGTATCCACCCACTACTGAAGAGGTGAAATGGGTGGCTCACTGCCCAGTGCCCCATCTCCTCTTTTTTCATCTTCCAAGTCCAGTTCGGCTGCAGCTTCCGTTTTTCACTGTCGGTTTGGATATGCTTCTCCAGATTGGCATGGCTTCTTACACGTGAGAGAGGGGAACATCTTCGGCTCTGGTTGCACACCCTTCTGTTGATAACCAGAGTCGACAGGTATATGGAAGGCAGCACAGAAGGGCTGGGATTAGTTCTCGGTTTCCAAGAAATTCAACTGGGTGGGGCTGACCCCAAATGACACAAAAAACGTAAAGGGCTACAGAAGCCCTTATACAGAAGCCCCAGAGCTGGGGAACAGTTTCACTCGTGCTGTCGCCCGACTACCTCTCTTAAGCTAACAAATAGACGTGTTTTTCTGTTATGAAAGGAATGCACGCACATCACATAAAATTGGCCAAGTACAGACGAACACAACGAAGAGAATGAGAAGCATCTGTCATTTGACAACAGAGAGAGAGCTGATCTGTTCTGGACACGGTCTTGATGATTCTGTCTACTTCTCTCTGTCTCACTCCCCACAGTAGATGCCATTGCGGGTTGCCATCGAGTTGGCTTTGACTGATAGGGACCCCCTGCACAACACCACACCACACAGTGATGGCCCGTCCTGTGTCATGTTCACAGTGGTTTTGCTTGTGCCCACGGTGGCGGCTATTGTGCCATCCCTTCTAACCAAACGGCTCCATCTCCAGCCCTAGATCGGACAACGATCTGCTGGGATCCATCAGGTTTGCAGTGACTGATTTGGGGGAAGTAGATGGGCAGGCCTTTCTTCCTAATCCGCCTCTGTCAGAGAGCTGTGCTGAAGCCAGTCCCCGTGCGTGACCCTGCTGATGTGTGAATCACCTATGGCCGTAGCTTCTAGTGTTACAATACCACACACGTCACGGCAGTAGGACAAACTGGCGGCTAGATGGTGGACAGCTTTAGGTAGTTACATACATTTCCCTTCTTCCAATATACTAAAGACCAGTTATTTTTAATTCTCAGGTCAACCAGGAATTATAGTTCTTGGTGAAATTGGCTCTATGTTTTTTTATAATGGAGTCGATTGGACATGAGTGCGTTTTCTCAGACATCTTTGCTAGGATGACTTGTTCTATATAACAGTACAAAGTGGGCGTCAGAATTCTACCCTTGAGTTAATTAGAAATTAACTTCTAAATCTTCTAGAAGATTTAGAGACTCTTCAAAAACGTCTAGCTTTCTTTTTCTCCCCTTCCCTCCCCCATTTGGCATTACATGTAGGTGCCCTCTGCTTTGAAGTCTCCTTGTCCCTCGTCAGATAATTATCAGAGACCCCTTTTCTAGGTCCCCTGGTGTATTCCCTTCTGGGGCATCAGAATCTACTTTTAGCAAGTGCCCCCTTTCTCTGGGAGATCATCACATCGACTCGTCTCTTGTTCCAGGGGGATATGACCTAGAATCAGCTTTGTCTTTGAGAAACGAGGTCACTTTCCTCCCAGAGGTGTCAGGAGACAGCGGGAAGCCCTGGCTGGGAGCAGAGGTGCTTCCTGGTTTTTCCTGGTCATCTCCTACAAAAGTGGTCACTGTGCTGAAGAATTGGTCAGTAGAGCTGCATCCCCCCCCCCCCACCTCTTCAAAACAGAACAAAAACCCTTGTCATCAAGTCTACTCCAATTCATAGCAAGTCTACAGGGCAGAGTGGCTCTGTCCTATAG